TTTTACTTGTTTTTTTTACACCACACATGAATATTTACGATGCATATGAATTTACGTTTGTGCAGAAAGGATAAAAAACTTGGAAACTTTTTTTATAGAGACCGTACACATTCAGAGTTACTGAAACGTTCTTCTAGTCTGACGAAACTTTTTCTAAAGTCTTCTACATACGTAAAGTTATCAACGAGCTGTTACAAATTTCAATTTTTAAGAGCATTTACTAGGTATTATAGGCATGCTATTACGTCTTGGAACAGTAATTTCTAGTAAAAATCTGCAGCAGCAATCGAATAGTTACATTTAATTAAACTTCTATTTTGAGGCTGATATCGATCTTACGAATATTTCGTCGGTATATTAATACTCGTTGTTTTAATCAATCCAATTGACATAACTAATTCGGAAATCATTTGATGATAATTTACTTTAATTATAAATACTGCTTCAGCTAATAGCATGTTATATGAAAATTTTCTGATTCTTTACTGAACAAAATACACGGCAAGATGTTTAGTACTCCCTATTCGATGATTGTATAAGAATTGAACTCGCATACATCCCGTCATACGTACCAAAATCACCGCAGTAAAAAACATACCGAAAACTGGATAAACGTAATTCAAGCTTTTGCTCGTACATCAGCTTAGCAATGGAAGAACCCCTGGCAAACAGCGTAGGAGTTTGATCAGCGAGACCGAACGAACGAGCGTTCCCAGAGTCGTTCGACTTAATGCCCATTGGCGACTTACTGAATGACAAGAACGTACGAAGAAGACTGAAAACTTGGTTGGGCCAACTGAGTTGCAAGTGCGAGATTTTCTTAGCTGGCCCTGGTCGGCATAAAACCGACCGACAGGCTACGACCTAAGTTCATTAGTCTATATCTGTAGACTATCGGACAGCGTTTGTCGTGACAATCACAAATGCAACGAGGCGACCGTCTGGAATACGCCGTCTGACTCGCTCAGCTGATAAGTACAATTCAATTTAGTAATTAATCTTGTTTAGGTTTAACTCGATTCTCTCGTGAATACAAATAAATTAGTCTGTGATTGATAAACGAATAGCAATGGCATATCGGTTCGTGTTTAAAATACTGAATGAAAAATATGAATGCTCATTTAATGAATGATAACACGTTTTCCAAGAGCTGGTCTTTTCAAATAGAACGAGAGACATTCGTTGCAGAGCAGCCCGCAATTGGCGACAAAATATTCAGTGCTGATAAAAGTATAACTTTATTTGCGAAACTTAAAGCAGTGGTGAGAGCAAGAACTGAAGAGGAACGTGCAATGGCCAGAGGAAAAAATTTGTCGTTACGCGCGCGGTATTAGCATTTAAATTCATGCGGTTGTAAATGATAGTGATTTGTACGAATTTCAACTAGTTTAATTAGAGCTTAATTTTGAATTGTAAATGTGTTCCGTAGCTTTGCTTTGGTTATTTTGCACGACCAAACATTGAAATGTTATCTATGTATACAGCTGAACTTCTTGATCGTAATGACCAGTAAGCCAGTTCTGCGAATCTCTACAATTAAATCTGTAGACTTGTACAACTTTAATCTTAAAAATTACACGGTTTCAGATTTTCAACAGCTACACATATTGACGAGTTCACAGTTCCTCCAACAAATTATTTGTAAAATACAAATAAACGAAATTTCATCCATTGTATACCGAAGGCATCAATTTACCCAATTTCGTATTCCATGCGCTAAACCAGCGCAACAAACACAAAGCTCAATATCAGAGTAACCATAACCTATGCATGAAGGATGAAAATAGGTTCCCGCATATTCTGGCCCGTTATATGTAGATCAATTTAATCACGCCAGAGGTATGGTATTAGCTTGAATCATAATTATCGAGCAATATCGTAAAAAGCCCCTAGTATCCCTATGATAATTCACAATATAGATAACTTGTAAATTTAATTTAGGCAATAATCTGTTATACGCTTCTATGTAATAAGATATTCAAGAATATGATTGTATTAATTAATCAGAGGGAAGTCTTACAGAACACAAAAGGTTAAAAAAGGTAATGATATTAATTTCCAAATCAAAGTACATCGAAATCCAACAATTGTGTAATATAATTCAATCTACACATAGAAGAGTCACCGAAGAATAAAAGTTTCACAAAATTGATTGTAAGATTAGATAAGATTAGAATAAATTAAAGAAAGTAAAATGTTTTACTTTTCGCTCTCGGACTTTATTTGCAATATTATGAATCTTATCGTTATCATTTCTTCCGAACTTTTACAGTACACCAGTCATATTGCAACAACTGCTATAAAAAGCATATTTTATTCCTAATTCGTCATCTATTAAATAATAGATTTGTTTAACTATTTAATAATAACCAAACGTTTGAAGCTTATCTGCCATGCTTTTACACTTTCACCTCTATGTATATACACGCATACGAGTATGTGTGGGGGTATTATTAAGAAATATAAGTACGCATGTGTGTGTGTGTGCATAATCGATGAATGCAAATGAATTAAAGAAAAACCACAATGTTGATGCTTTTTGAAACATGCTAAAAGGTATCGATGAAAAATGTTGTGGAGGCACTCAGAAATGTACTACTGAATTAGAATCATCTAATATGAATAGTGAAAGGGACGTGTTGAGCAGGAATAATATTTGTTGAAGCCATTTTTGTTATTCTAAGGCATAAAAACCCTGTAGGGAAAAGCCGGAAAAATAATTGCGCATATTGTACATTATAATCTTAAAAATTACTGAGCTGAATAAAGAAACAAGCAGAAACACAAAAATCAAAACTTAGAAAGTATTTGACGCACGCAACGAAGAAAAAGAACGCGTCGCTCGTTCGACTCGATGAAGAAGAAGCAAGAGAGGAAAATGACGCGCCACGTACAATTTTACAACTGACTCGACAGCTCTCACTGCCAAATTTTCGTCGCTACCGACTAAACGGCTGTCGTCCCAATCGAGCCTTAACGGGTGCGCGCTCAATTAGCCACGCCTTTTAGATTTTTTTAAATTTTCTCTGTCTCTCTCTCTCTCTCTCTCTCTCACTGTCTTATTCTTAGTCTGTAGCCTACCGGATCATGGGTTAGCTTTGCAGTTTCCCTTTCCGTTTTTAAGTGACCCTCAAAAATCTGGAAGCCGTACTTTCCGCGAGGTCTAACAGCCTCCAGGAGTAAACTCCTGAAGCAGACGGCTTTCAAGGCCACGAAATCGCCTTTGCGTTCGTGCATATGTAAGCGAAGAACCATAAGAGAGAGAAAGAGAGAGAGAGAGAGAGAGAAGTAGAGTTACAAATTTTATCGATCGTAGACTTAATTCATTTAATCGCTTAGAATAACAAATACTTAATTTAATTTTCATATGTAATTAGACACATTTAAATTACAAAATAAATTCAAATTAAAACTAAAGAATGAGAATTGCAATTTAAGCGTGTCGAGACACGTTTCAGACAAACAACGACGGCGACAAAGTGCTGCGTGTCCAAATTTATAATTTATAAAAAAAAATTTATGGCTTCTCGAATTACAGAATACAAACTAATTTTCTAATTTTACAGCACGCCGGCATCGAAACTATTTGCGTTTCTTCAACCTTTATAAGGGCGGTTATCACAAATACAGTCTTGGGCACGATCGAGAAAAACTTGTATTACAGTGACAATATTTTCGGAAAATAAATTATATTACATTTTTAACAAATAGTGGAGCTTAATTACTTCCATGTTTATAATTAAAATTTAATGGATTCTCACCCTACATAGCTTCATTTATTTTATAAAAATAAAAGTAACAAGATCTTAATAATGATAGTAATTGTCAATAGCGCCCAACACGTCGAAATACATACTCAAACAAAAGTTGAAATAAACTTGCCAATGAAAATATTTCGATGGACGGTTTTGGCGAGTCACATTCTAGTGCGATCAAAGTGATAGTCCAACTTTAGCTTGCGCTCTTGTTTTATGCTAAAGCACCGCTGCAGAGCTTTAAACGACGGTGTAATGTTACAAGGCAAGGCAGTCAGCTGGATAGTCATTGGCAGCACACTAAAACCGCAGCCAATACCCGATCTCAATTTTGCTGATCACGTGTTTGCGCGCGAATCTGCAAGTCAGTCGATAAAGAGCTACTGCTCAAGTTATCCGCTCTGCTTGATGTTATCTATACAATGAATCGTCGATTACATTTCGGGATTTAGTGGAAACGTATTTATGTGGTATTCAAATTATTATCACTCAGTCGTTTGGCAGTTATCGATTAAACGTATCTACCAACTCTGTTACAGAAGAAAGCTCAGCGATACTCGTAACGGAGAAGTGCGTGCGTACTTGACATCAAAACTGCAGTGGCTGATGTCAAGCTGGAATACGCATCAAGATTTACCGAAATCCATTTCACGCTAAATTGCGTAGGTAAACCATAGCTCTCCAACGCATTAGCCTCTGACGCGCGAGCTGATTAATTCGCAGGCATTGCTTGCGGAATAAGCTAAATTTATTTGGCTGGAGTCAATTCGTTCCATTGGCCTATCGACTGATTTTTCTCGTAAAATACGCGATAGCGATCTTACGTACAGCATTTTCCGTGCAATTATCACTTTCTCGTTTCTGCTATTTTGCGGGCTACGCCATGCCGAGTATATTTACCGAGGCCTAGAGAAAATGCACGACGATAATGAATAAAAACGCCAAATCCGGTAATTGGAGCGTCGAGCCCCCGAGGGATGGTGCAGGCAAGTCGGAGAACAATTTGCACGAGGCTTCCAAAACGCCACGGGGCTACGGGGCCGCTGCTGCTGCTGCTACTACTGTCGCAGCTGCGCGAATAATTGGCGCTCGCGCGAGCGACACTCGCGCTCGCGAAAGCTGGAAAGTCGGCGGGGGATAGGCAACAGAAGGATCCCGGGAATAGCCCGGACAGCCAAATGAAAAAGGAGCCGCCGACAAACTGCGCTACCCAATAACGCCGTTCTCGAGTATGCAGTCACTCACCTGCTTGCCGAGGTGAGCTTCCAAACTGACATCCTGGTCGATGAAGTCGACGCCTCTCGGGTACGTCACGTTCGTCAGCTTGATCCGACACTCGAACCTCGTGCGATCTGTGACATTCACAAACAAACGACTAAGTCCAAAATAGACAGAACGATTGAATAATGCCGCGAGTACTCGTGTACATTTATGCACGCTCAACAAGCCAAAACGAATACGCGTGCCAATCGATCGAACTTACATAAGCCTCCACGGCAGACTAACCGAGTTCAGCCTGCATGCCGGATTACAAATCACGCGCGATTTATTGCTCTCTCTCTCTCTCTCTCTCTCTCTCTCTCTCTCTCTCTCTATGCAAATAAAAGTCTCGACTCACCGGTTTGAACGCGGCTCGGCACTTTGCATTGGCACGGCCTCTGCTGCTGCTTGTCTCCGGGGAATGGACACTGAAAAATGCACTGGCCATCTCGGCAACCTGAAGACAGAGTGATATCGGTTTACATTCAGCTAAGGAATGTACATTGTCGCTGAAAGAAAGGCACTCGCTGGGGAGTAATCGTTCAAAATGTTAGGACATTTTACCGCTATTACCGTCTCGTCGAACCCACGATATTACGTCTCGGGGGAGGTATTCTGTTGACGCGCAAAGCTATCTAGAGAAGAGGAAGTGTATCAAATTACGCGCTGAAAATAAAGCAGTGTAGGCGATGCGGCTGATTGACCATTGAGCTGTATCACTAGTGCCGAGCTAAAAGTTGCTCTACGCGATTGAAAACCAAGTGAGCTCGTCGCTGTTGTAAATTGACACATTGAATTGAATTGTTGTCAGCTATAGTCTATCGATCGGCTTATAACGTGTCCCCTCGCACGCAGCGGGACGTAGACGCGCACACGTACGCGACGGAGAGTTCAAACGGTCACACTACGTTCCACGCTGGACACAATGATCGAGTAGGTGAATTTGGCGCGTGCGGACGCGTCTCGAGATGATTATTCAAGGCAAGAGCTGTCGGGAGCAAGAGAGGCTTATGGAGCATAATATGATTGGTACCGGACTGCTGACTGCTGGACTCGGAAATCTGGCACAAGTCGCCGGTAAAGTTGGCCGGGCAATGGCAGCGTACCGCCGCAGCTCCGACGTGCCTGCAACATCGAGACACGAGGCAAGAGAGTGAGGAGAAACATCAAAGCTAAACCAAGTGTTATAACGAGCCACTAAAAATCTCATCAGACGCGCGCGCAGCAGGAAGTGCTAAGTGCTCGAGCGCAAATTGACTTTCTTTTTCGAGGCGTACAACCCCTACCGCAAATTGACTTTCCTTCTTCGTTCTTATTCCCCCTGTTTTTTCCGCTCTCGAGAAACTGCGTTCCTTTTTTGCCATGTCGAACCCGAATATGCCTTGGCCTTCGATGAAAGGTTTTCTTTTCGAGCTTCTATCACGCGCCCGCCATTCATTCGCTTTACGAGCTCATTTCGAGAGCGAATCAGCGCTATCGTTTGACATGCTTTCACATGCACTACTTTGAACATGACCAAACTGCCCAGTGGCGAATTGCGATCCGCGTGCCGATCGAGCTTTCCAATCGATACCGTTTTTAAACTGCATATCCGTTGACATAAGAAAGTCTGCTAACCTGTGCAGACTTTGCGCAAATTATTAAACGAGAAAAAACTAAAGAAATTAATTCCTAATCAATTCGTTCGCACGTTATTCCTGTTGTCTTGAGGGCATGCTGCTCACGTATTTAATGGCATCTCATACCTGCATGTACCACCATTCTGACAGATTGGATTTCCACGTTCGGTTACGCAAAGTGGTCCATGGCCGCAATGCTCACCGCCGAATCCTTCAAAGCAATCGCAGTAAAAGGTCCTAATGAAGAGGAACGGTTGGATGTTAGTGTGCTTAGCAGCTGATCTTTGTCACCATTAAGCCTGTAAACAGTCTTATAGATTGCTTCCATCTTCTCGCTACGTATACATTATAAGTCATCGATATAGGTAATAAAACTGGCGAAGCATTTCGTCTTTATGGCATTAAATTTCTTTTACTCGACTCGTTGACCAACTCGAGCGACCAAGTCCATGAATAAATAGTAGATTGTGCTTACATAATAGCTCGGCAAGAAAATTTACAAAATACCATTGACGCCTTACCGACAATGCAAGAAATTAGCCAACTTGATTGCAACGTCGCTTGGCAATTTTGCGACGCTTCCATCAGGGTTAAACTTCGGCGACTTGCAGGATTTGTGCTTCGAAGCACTTTCTTTAGCAAGCCATTGTTGAGTTTCTACCATTGTCATTCATTAAATGCTTAACAAAGCAACTGCAACGATTGAATTATGACATGTCGCCAAGGATGCGTGCGATGTCTGCAAGTGAATTTCGCTCTCGGTCTCTTTCTCTTACGTTCGTATAAATTTCACTGCGTTCACTCCAGTAACCAAATTAATTATGGATACAACAGTACTTTTATTGAGATAATCGACGACAATTATTAATCAGTTTAGATGAAGCTACGCGTAACGCTTGGGCCCAACCATAAATTTACGTAAAAATCTTAAGCTTACATAATTTTTCACATGTTAGCCAATTTTTCTTTGGCAAACTGGATGCACGACAAAAACCAGATTTTTTGAAGATACACGTCACGTAAAATGCGTTATAAGCTTGTAAAGCTGCGTAGCTAATTATTCTATAATCCCCTTGTCCACGGTATCTTCGTTGTCAGTTGTGTATGAACCATCTAGGATTACTTGGTTATAAAGCTTTAACAACATTTAAATTTCAAACGACTTTAACTGTTGCGGTCTCTAGTAACAATTTAAAGAGAAATTTCTTCTTTAATTTTGCTAACTCATCAGTATGCTTTTTAATCCTTTCCGCTCGTTATTGTAATGCCAGTCTTTAATTTGAATTTTTCGTGGAGAAAAGCGTCTGTCAAAGAATCCACAATGCTACGCATAGTAGTACTATATAAAGCTCGACGACGTACTGTACAACGTAGCATTGTACAAAAAACTGGGCGATTATTCGGAGTAGCAGTATAAAAAAAAAATGAATAAAAGCTCGGCATTACGCCGAGTACTTTCTGCGAATATTTACTCGGTTTAGAGTAGAAAAAAGGGAGATATAGCAAGATCCTGGAATCGTAACGACAAAGTAAAGCGAGTCGATCGTCGGGTATACCCACGCTCTTGCGGACGCGCATAGTCGAACGGTAATGCAGTACGAGTGTCGTGCGGCTCAGTGTATCGGGGCGATCGAAGTGGTTCGCTGCAATCAGTCGGATTCGAGTACGATTGTAAACATGAGCGGTATTCTACAGCACGTAGCATGCCAGAAAAAGGATTCGTCTCGCCGACGACGCGTTCCATTCGTCCGAGACTCGATTATACCTTTCGAGAGCTTGCATTGCTCTCTCGCAGGCACGTTTCGTATTATTTATTATTATTATTATTTGTTCAATTTCTTTCCTTGAGTCGACTACAGATGACTTATCGACATATTGTTTTGATAAATCTAGAAAATACCTTGTTTACGTGGCATCGGCTTCAAGTGGATTTCCCCTGGAGAGGCCATCTGTACGTGGCACTTTTGATTTTCTTACTTGCTTGTCGTCGCGAAATCTTGACGCCGCTCCTACTCGAGAGAAAGTGATTTTATTCAATAAAAAGGTAAACATCAGTAAGTAGTAGATGACGTTCGAGGGAACAAGTACGACAGCAAAGTATGTTCTTGTACGATATCCTTCTGTGAAATATACGAGGTCATAACTGTTTAAATTGAAAGTCACGCAGTTTGTGCGATGACACATAATAGCAATGACTAGAAAACGGAAAGTTTAAAGGTATACATTAGATCGGATACAATGTACTCCTGAGTGAACTTTTATCGAAGAATCACAATCGATTTCCGAGAAGAAAAATGCATCGAAGCTCCCTGTACGAAAATTGGCTAAATCCAATAGAGAATGGATCGATGGAAATTTCACAGCGGCCGGTTAAGAATTACGGGTCAGTAGGCGCCGCAGATAATAACCTACAGAAGATAACCTAAATTGGAAGGTTTCGCACTTGCCTGGGCAGTTTCCATTCTCTCTCGCTCACCCTATACTTTTTTGTTCGACTTGTTCGACTCCGCGCTTCGTTCATTCTTGTCACACAGGGAAAGCGATTATTTGAGCCGCGCCAGCTCTACGGGTCATCCAGATTACATGCGATAAGTAGCACTTCGCGAGGATCCCACTCTAGCTGCTCATGCAGCCGTATGAGGCAAATTTCCAAGCCTTAGATTCACAAATTCACACCAACGAAAGCCACAAATATCTTTTGTACACTATAAGATCAGTTTTTTGTTTCCTTTACGTTTCACGATAGAGGATGTGCTCTATGACGAGTTTTCTTCGCACAACTGTTTCAAAATCTAAAAATTTGCACATTTATAACATCACTAATTTTCTCTATTTTTGACAAAAGCTAAAGGATGATTTATCAACGTGTTACGTTAATTGCTCGAGGGGTGACTTTTCTAATTAAGAGCAACTATGCTGGAAATGGAAATGTTTTTGATTTGAATTTCTTCTTCGAGATTCGCGCATGGAACGATATATGTCATTCAATTTCAGAATTCTTCCTTTGGACCATTCAATAAAGCGTGCGCAAAAATCCAATATTTTAGAATGTGTTACTTATACTAAAAACGAATGCGTAGATACTTTTGAATGCGCATCATACAGTGTTGAGATAAAAACGCGACTTTGCTCAAACTACATATTGGTTTGTTTGTCGTCAATATATCTAGTTAACTTTGATGTTTTTGTCATGGTGATCATTTCGAAGAAAAAGAAAAATAAGAAAAATTCGATACTTTGAATGCATTACAAATAAGATTTCTAAACTTACGTAAAATCTATAAAGACGTGCGTATTTAAAAACGACTGTTGCAAAGTGCCTAAATCGAAGCATCCAATCTTACTACGCATCATATACCTGCGAGTCCATTAATTCGCAATCTTCATAGGAGCTGGCGCACAGTAAGTAATGTTTAACGATCAAAGTTAAACAGGATTTATATGTATTTTAAACGGGCAGCGAGCTGCTGCGGTCGTTGATATACTGCACATGTTGCACTTTCATTGGAAAACAAAGAGAAACGACTTGAGAAGTTGGTTAAGCAGAAGATAGTAGCGAAAATAAGCATGAGTCCGTAGAAAAGACAAAAGTTGAAGAGTGCGGTATGAAAGAAGTAGAAAGGAGAAAACAAGTTAGAGGGGTAGTGGGAAATGTAATTACGGAAGATAATGCATTTAGTCTGGTTCAGCGCTCTATATTAGCGTTAATCCGCTGATTCGGGATCTGCCGGTTTGTTTTTTCAAAAGGTTTTCCGAGGCGGAGCCGCGATAGAGAATCAGCACGAGCAGGAGATTACCGCGGAAATTCCTCCGTAGGCTCTGTTTTACGCGCTACTGTCGCCACTAGCTATACTTCACGCCGTACAAGAGCCGCGGAAAAATGCGGTCTCTGTGGCGAGCTAAAAAAGTAGCAAACAGTGTCCTAATGTAAAAGCAAAATAGAGCTTCTCCGAGATAAAGAAGAAAAGAGGGGGGAATGCCCGGCCACCAGCGAGAGAATTCGGTACGCGAGCAACACGAGAATTACGGCTAGTCAGCGGGAAACAGCGGCGAAAGTTTCGCCTCCCCGTATCTTATTCATTAGTGCCAGACTTGCAGCAGCCACCATAGAGGCTTGGGTTACCTGCTCACTTGTTCACTGCGAGCGCCGGAGAATCAGAGACCGAATGATTTAAGGACAGCACTCTCTACCATGATACATGTATTCTCGCCTACCTCGCACGCGATGATATTTTAATGGCACCGCGTCTCGCGGCTGCCTACTTGTAGATTTTTCCATTATACCACGGTCTCTCTCCCGCTTTCGAGCCTCAAACTTTTATCTCCTGCCACGCCCTGAATTCTACATTAGATTTACAATGAAAATTTTCCACGAGCGGTCCCGAAAAATTACCGCTCGAAAGTCCTACTGACCATTGTTGGGCGTTGTCTTCTAATGAAAGCGCGCAAACTAGGCAAGTTTGCGAAAATGAGTTTGCGAGAGTTTTGCGAAAGAATAGCAAAAGAGACGTGTTGAAGTGCGAGAAAAAGCTACTGTTGTTGGAATAGTTGAAATTGGCAGCGTTTAGAGAGTTGAGCGATGAAAGGAGTTCCGCGCGTACCAAATATAATCGGCTGCTGGCTTAATAGCTCCTTTTGCGGCCATATCTTTTGAAGTGGAACTACCATGAGAAAGACTTTGATTCTGACAACTGTCCTGGGGATAATCCATTTTAGACGCTCAACTGAAGCTGGATGGCGTTACTCACTTACTTGTAGACTCAACAGAAGACTTTCTCTCGTATTCTCGGCTAGAAGACGTTTTCCATCAACTGCTAACTTCCTTCCAGCTTAGTGGAATACAATTTACCTCAGCCAAATTATATCCATGTCAGCTATTTGTACAGTAGGCCAGATGCAGCCTCACTCTGCCATTCCTAACAGATTTAATGAGGGATTATCGAATCTGCGATCTCGCGTAGATTAATCGCGCACTTAAAAGCTCTTCTAAAGTCTTTCCTACTTCATCATCTGCTTGTACTCGACAAGTAGGAGATTTTTTATAGCATTACTTACGCCTAGATAATCGATTAAAAGAACTTTCTAGAGCAGAGACATAAAGTTTAAACTACGATACAGCAGTGCCCACGTAGCCTCTTTGGAAAATTCAACACCTATAGATAATACACTTATCCAAAAAGTTAAGAGGAAAAAATAGAGACCAATTTCACGCTTCTATAAAAAATTCATTTATACGAAACTACCACCAAGCTGGATTTTACCGCTACGAGACTTTCACACGCACGGAGACAGTCCAATTTAAGTTGCGCATCGAAAATACCACATTTGCATGCGCTATCACTTTGCGACATAATCTATATTTATAACGATTATTTAGAAACCGTTCACCTTCTTATTTCTATGAAAACATTTTGTTTTTTTTATTTTTTTCTGTTTTTTACGAGAGTTTTCAAAAATGAATAATTCATATGAATGTATATAAATCATGTCGTTACTTTTTACGTTCACTTGGTGTATTTGTCAGAAGTTCTACAGAAAAGCACTCCCATCCGGCACTATTTCTTTCGAATATTCAAACTGCCTGTACTTGTTCAATTTTACGAGTTCATGCTTCTACGAAGTATCAGTGGATTCCCATTTTCTCCTTTCTCGAAACCATCCCACCTATTATTTGTTTGTGGAAGTGCTGAAATTGTGCGAAAGCATTGTGGTCAGAAATTTAATAAAAAAAAAAAAAGAAAGAGAAAAGATTCTATGTGGCTTTATGAAATTTAATTAAAAACGAAGAAAAGTCTACCAAATCTGAGCTCCTATTTTTATTTATCGCAGCAAAATATATCAAAAATATATTTTTTTTAAATATTCTGCCCGAATGTTCAATTCGCAAAGTTTTGAAACTAGAAAATTTTAGTAATATATTAGCCGTGTGCATATTTTAAAGTTGCTCTAGTTTCGAAGCTCAACTAATCGGGTCAACTATGTATTTTTTTACGAATTTGGGCTTCGATTAAGGCTATCTCTCTTTTGTTTTAATTAAATTTAAAAAAAAACAAAGAAAAGACGAAACATTGCTTATTTTATTTCTATTATTTTCAAAAATTTTATGGGCCAAAGCTTTTTCAATTTTAACTGTAATTATGCCAAAGTGACTCGAGTAAAAATACACACTTGATTTGAAAATGTTCCAAAATACCAATACAGTGCGGTTTTAAGTCTTTTTCTTTGTGAAATTCTTTATTATACAAACCACTACAGATGCTAAAAGAGCTTGTAGACGAATAGAATTGATGATATCAAATAGCAATAAAATTACAGGTCAGGATTTTTCGGTGAGCAAGTTCATAAATAAAGGATAAATAAAATTCTACGGATAAACCCGACGTGCGTAAATCAGACGTATCAAACACTTGAAATGAATATCTATCGATCTAGCTGTGATTTCATTACCCGATCTACTGCAGCCCCACTTACAAAATTTATAGTATGTTTATTGGAAAAATTGTTACATCAATTTATTTATTTATTAGCAGTGTTGACTTTGAAAAAAATGAGCGAAATAAATTATCGATCGTTAACAGCAAACTTAGCTTACACAGACTGTAAGAAAGTGTTTGGCGAAAGAAAAAAAAGAACAAAAACGTGGAAATTTAGGTGCTGCAAGAGCGCTTGCATATGCACTGGCGCGTGAAATCTTTTTAAGAGGTATAAGCCCCCGGCAAAACAGCCGCACAGAGAGAAAGAGAGTGAGGGCAGGGGGGTGCGAAGGTGGCAGACTGGTGCTCGCGCGCATGTGCGTCAAGACAATATTTGCGAATGCGCTTTCCTTGGACGAAAATGGAAAGAGAGAGAGGGAGAGAGAGAGAGAGAGAGATACAGAGAAAAGGCCGGGGGCGTGCGATGCTGCTTTCCTTCATGCCTCTATCTCTTCCTCACGGCTAAGTCTCCTCAGTAGAGCGTTATTTTTTCGCGACAAAAACGGACGGAAGAAGGAAAAAGAATAATGAAAAATGAAACGAGCGTATCAGCCGCAGCGTCATTTATAGAAAAATGCAGAATCGTCTGGCTGCGAGAAAACAGCTTCACTTGAATATGCGCGCGCGAAAATTGAGCGTCTTTCTTTTTCATGGCGTGGCATTTTTTTCCGGCTGCTCTTTTTTTTTTTTTCTTTTTGCAGGCAGGAATAAATTTACCAAAACGTGCCGCGCTTGCGTACGTGCATAAGTATTCAGCCTGATAATTGTGCGAGACACATGCTTACCGGTTTTATAGCTCAGACGAATGCAGGTCGGTAGATCGTTAAAAATAGAGCTGTGCTTTTGATTGAAAAGATAATATGTTGACTCGTTACCGTTCAATTTTGTCAACAATTTAGTATCTGCGTTTTGTTTGTCATTTAATCAACGTTGTTATTTTTGCAACAAGCGGCTTTTTCTAATTGACAAGATTTATCCCAGGATACTTTAGAAAAATAAAAACTACAAGCATCGCAAAACATAGGATAGAAGAGGTCCATGCATATTTTGGGCGAAGTGGTACGTGAATATATTGTTGTTGTTGCTGCCTGGCTGCTATTGTTATTGTTAGTTCAAGAATTACGTTCACAGGCATATGCACACAGTAGCATACGCATCTTGCAATAGCATAAAGAATAAAAAAAATTGATATGTATGTTTTGGTCTACTTTAAAGTGATAAATCGGAAAAACTAAAGTATCTATAACCGAAAAACGTGACTTACAGCGAGAAATGCTTCGTGACCATTTTTCTTCTGTCAAACAACTTAATTTTATCATGCTAGAAAGCTCGTTAACTGTAATTATCAAAAAGAGAGTACTGTTGACGACGGTTTCTCTAAACGTAAACCTGCTCTCATACGCTATAAACTTGAAATGATCGCTTCACTTTGAAATGAAGGTTCAAACTAGCCGTACATGAGCGAGCAGAGCAGTTATTGGACGCGTACCGCCGGACACAGCATAGATTGTATCGCTTGCCAGTAGCAGAGTTCAGTTTGATAAAAGCAATATAATGAGATGAACCATTGGCAAAGTAAAGGGGAACGAGTGCAATGATGTGATTAATTATTCGCTGGCAGTGTCACCAACGAGCAGCGTAAGTGTATACGTTAACGAGAAGAGTGAAGCGAGCATGCGCCGATTGGCGAATGCACAAAGGAGCGAGAGTGACTTACGCGTAGTCGGCAGCGAGCAGACAGTTGCCAGCAAAGGAGCAGTTCTTGAGGGAGCAAGACTCGGAGTCTTTGGCAGACTCGATGCCGATCTGGTAAGTGATGTTGAAGCCGTAAACGTCGAGCAATTTGTCGAGGACTCGCACGTGGTTACCTTCGAGTCTGTCGAGCTCGAATTCCAGCACGAGGTACGGACGGTAGGTACGAAGCAGACGATTCTCGAACACGTTGCTCTCGTCGATCTCGCTGACGAGGGCCTCGCCAAAGCTCGCCGACTCGCCCTCGTAGTAGGCGTACTCGCTGAAACGCAGACCTCGAAAAGCATACACCTGACTCAGATAGACAACGATCGAGCTGTTGGCCTGATGCTCGGCGAATTCCGACGCGTCCAAGACCCAACGGCAACGGATTGGCACGGTGAACGCTCCTGGGAAGTTGGGCGTCGAGATGACACCGCGCCGTGCGGTCAGGTGGCCGCCGCATTCCTCTGATAAGGTGCTCCCAGCCAACAGTAGCAGCCCCAACCACACCAACACCTGCAGACATAAAAGCAGTCATTTTGTCATTATAGGCTCCGTCTCTTCGTTCGCCGCTGGAATGCCTGATTAGATGTACACCATCCGTACTCCTTGCAACTGTACTTTAAATACGTAGGGATAATTATTATTCAAAAGTAGTAGGTTTCGTCAACCCGCATAACAGCGCAGTCTTTCTGTTTGAACGAAAGAAATAATCAGACATCTGCGCTGTAAATATTGCGAGTACTATTGTTTCCCTCTAGTCTCAAGAGTACATGCAAGACAACTAAAGAAAAAAAGTGCTTTCGCGTAGTCACGGAAAAACCAGTTTTTATGCGCTGTCAAGTTCCGTTCGGCTACTTACATATCTACGAGCCATTAATAATAGATTAGCTGCTAGAAATCTTTGTTGATCTTATATTCTTGCGACTTCGATGTACTCTACAAATACTTGAATTGCCAGTAGAGCATCAAGATCTTCGCTCATCAATTATAACTTGTTGAATCTCCATGGAGTTGCGCAGAATTTTTAATCGTCGTTACGTTTTTCCGAAATAGAATATGGTGTATTATTTAAGGCGCTTGTATTTTACGAAATCAAGCATAATGTAACTTTGGAAGAATAAAACGCTAGATTTCTATAATTTGAAATTATAGTTAATTATTATTTTGCCCTCGTACTTTGCTTATACTTCCAAATTTTCTTTGTTCTTGCTCACAATTATTTACCAATGCATATCGTACAATTAACGTTCGCCGTTAGCTTTGTTTCTTAATTTTATTTTCCTAAGCATACGAGCTGTTCGCTTAATCTCTGCATTCTCTGTCTATATGAAATTAAGTTTTTGAGTTGACCATTACTCCAAAATCATGGCTACACACTGCAACTGATTTCCGCCTCTTTCTTTATAAGCAGTTTATGAGTTTCTAGATGTAAACTAATTAAAACTTGCCTCAATAGAGTTGTAAAGTACTTTTGTTGAAATTTGAATTGGAATTTGAATGAAATGAAATGATAAAGAACATTTTTTCTTATTATAATAGATGCAAAGAATCTTTAATACTTTATAGTTTCATCATACTTGAAATATGCAGAAGTTATAGACTATAAGAAACTGTTCGGTCGCTGATAACTTTATTAACTAGATTATAAAGATTTAATTAAATGTTTTTTATTGTTTAAGTCAATAAAAATATATGAAGAAAATTTAATGGAGGGGGCGGGGTGAAAAAAACTGAGAATAGCAATTCGTCAGAAAGAATAGATTAATGGAAAATGATAAAAGTGAAATTGAAGCGGTAATATTCGATAAGACGTCGGTATATGAGGAAAACTGGGCAGGAAAAGGGCAGGATGAAAGGAAGCCAAAATACGACGCGCCGACTCAAAGTTTTTGCCTAGATTCTCGCTTCGTTGGGTGCAATTTCCAGAGGAGCTTCTTAAACGTGATTTTGAAAGCGGCTCCGATGTCGTCGGGAATTCACTCGGCCGAGTAGCCGGCTGAACTTGCGCCGCAGGCTAGTGTTGCCGACTCTGTGATTGAGGGTTATCGGATTGGCTCATTGTTGTGGTAGGTTTTGAGGGGTAAGAGGGGGCATCGGTGAGGGTGAGAGATAGCCCGACCATCAGTGCGTCAAACATCGCTTCAAACACACTATTAATTTGCTGCTGCTGAAGACGATCTTCGACATGATCTATATCGTGCGCACAAATTGATTAGAACTCGGAGCAATTGTGTTTCTCGAGTACTAATTATTGCTGTCAATTTGATAATCTTTCTCTTGAGACGGATAGAAGCAGCATTTCTTTAGTTTCACTTTCATAAAATGTTACATCTTCAGTACTCTCATGATTTTGAACAACTAACGTTGTCGTTCATGATTGAATTCTCGATTAATCGAATATCTTCAAATACTGAAAAATCAGAAGAAAATTGCATGGCTAACTTAACGTTGATATTACTACTGTATCCTTATTCTCACGTACAAGCTCTCAGTCAAGCGGATACCTCGAAACAAACTACAATGATAAATTTATAACTTTGAAACTCTTGAGATTTTCAAGTAATAGTGTCACTTTAGCATTTTCATTTTCATAGACCCCGCAGCTATTAATCTCACCATGAACCCACTGCTGAAGTCGATTAACTCACAAGATTGCTTTCGAGACTTTCCATAGCTACTGGACAAACCACTGTCGCGCTTCTTCCATTCCTCCTCCTCTTCTTTTCCTTCTCTACCTTATAATGAGTTTAGTTGTTATTCAAACAGATTATTGGCTTCATTTGAAATTCATTGTGGAATATCGTAAGTAATGATATGACACCCACTATGGAAAATCAATTATTGGTGCATTTAAACTAAGATCTCAAAATATTCTGTTCGCTACTACAATAATAATATCGTTAAATGCTACTTTTTATAGTTTCATTCAAAAATTGTATTCGTAATTTTAATTAATATCACATAAATTATTTCGCGATTTTGTATTAATCGTGCTTGATACGCCAGAAAAACTTTGGACAACGTATTAGTAGAGACAATTAGATGTAGTGTTTACTTGAAGCTGACATAAGACTGATCTATTCTGAATATATGTAAGGAATTCCTATAAGTAATAAAATTTTTCTTTGAAAAAAGCAATTGATGCGCTGATTTATGCAATGTTACACATTTACATGAGTACTCAATGTTACTTTTCAAAAAAGATCATATAACACTTTTTAGTTAACACAAGTAGGGTCAAATGCTGAAGGGTGCATTATTGTTGGACGATTGGATTGTTTTCACATAATATGATTAAGTTTTTGTTATTTATAATCTGTCAAGTGAATATTTCAAGTAGGAAAACCATATCAAAAGAGTTTTTTCAGATAATTGATTTCAAAATTTTACATAAAAACAATTCCCTATAAAAAGGTAAAATTTTGTTTGAAAAAGAAACTTTTCAAAATTTAATTAAATTTGCAGCTCGAACGAAGCTTACAACAAGTAAAACTCTGGCGAACAGTCAGAAATACGGTTAGGTTATAAAAAATTCTTTCATTACAAAAATATCCACAGCATTGAAGTGAGTAATCTTTCATAAAAATGGTATTTTTCAACTCTATTGCTCTTCAGCATGTGACCTTTATTTTTATTTTTGATTTGAAAGTTTTAATGGGTCGTTAAATAAAAAGCATTCCTGTATAGTTTCTTGGCGGTTAAAAATTGATGATGGTCGTTATCCGAATGGTAAATTCCTAATTTGTCGCTAGAGAAAGAGAGAGAGAGAGAGAGAGAGAGAGAGAGAGAGAGAGAGAGAGAGAATAGTTCATCTCTCTCGAGCCTACGTGTCATAACTAATTTATAAATGTTCGCAACTGCAGTTAGCAGAGCGTGCCATACGCAATAGCCATTAGTCCGAACAACAAAGTGGTTAATGCAGCTAAAGAGTCATTCCAGGCTGTTATCTACAAGATCTGCAATTGAGAACGAGCGAGCTGCTGGAAATATTGAGCGTTTCGTCGGAGTGGAAAGTAGATAAGGTTTGTGTTATGTATCAGTATGGAGAGGTAAATGCAAACTGGAATTCGCCGAGTGGTCGGTTGTACACCGTCGTGGTGATAAAAAACAAGTCGAGAAAATACGTAGTGAGCAAATTAAAGTATTGAGAATGGAAATGCATCGGCGAGTGCATACGTAAAGAGAAAATTGCGCAGGTATTTATGAAGCAGAAAGTTGTAAAAAGTGTTTTTGATGCATCGGGCTAGCTTAATCCCGCGCTCGCTCGCGTCACTGTGTTTTGTGCCAACAATAAAGAAAATACATCGACTTTTCTATCTGTTCTGCCATGAGAGCGCGTGCTTCGCGTCACGGGACTGTTGCAAGAGCGGCGTCTATTCGTATATTCAGTATACTCAGCAACGATAAATTCCATGCATCCGCGAACGCCAAGCGAACGCCAGCGTGAGCTCGAAAGAGTCTCTTTGCTGCTATACCCTTCTGTGAGCGCCTATGCCATGGATCTATGCGCTCTTTACTCTGTCATTACTTCTTTTTTACTTTCTACACATTTATTAGCACTTTCCATGCCTTCATTCCTGAGCTTTATCACGAACCTTTGATTGTTCAATGCAACCGCAATTGGCCGTGATCTTAGAGTTATTGTTTCTCTTTGCGTAGCTAACTTAACATCTAATGGAAAGCCTTGGTATTTTTAATTCAATAGTCTTAATTAAATACAATAACAACGTATAACGAATTCAAGCTCAAGATAATTTTTACTGCTGCTATAAGACTCTATTTTCATTCGAGATAGCGGAACACATTTTTTTCTTATGCAATAATAGCAGTATTTGAAATCCATATCTGCGAAAATTCTGTATTTGTTGTGAAAATAAAAAGACTAATAAAAAAATAAAAAGTTAACCAGATCCAATCGAATGATTTTCAAATAAACGACCTGACAAATGATATCTCCAAAAAGAGCCCTTTTTTGAGAAATAAAGCGAATGATTCGAAATCATAAGATTTTCAAAATGATTCTTATGCTGCTTTTTCAACTAAAAATTTTCTCCAAATACAAAGTACGTACAAATTTGTGAAGTTTCTGAAAAGCATATAAATATATTAAAAAAATCTGTGATCCAACGTACAAAATTTTAAAATAGACTAGGTCACTGAATTTTTGCGACATTTGTGAGACAGCATGGAATGGCAAGAGTGCAAAAACTTTACATTCTCAATAGACTGCGCTATCACAAATCAATAGATATTTAGTAGACTACCATTTTCATCTAGATCCACTTGTCGTATTTGCACTTGAATTTGCTGTGAGCATGTATGAAGACTGAATACTATCGAGATAGATCATATAGGGGAAATTAAATGATTAATTGAAATATAAAGGAAACGATTCAATAGCCACTTGTCGAGATGGACCATTATCAAGTTTTTCGGACATTCCCGAGTTAGAAGAGGCTTTGTGCATAAATATACTCGTGAAAATGCTTAAACTCACCTAGATCACCTGCATA